ACCAAAATACCTGTTTATATACCCATCAGCCTTACTTTATATGTCCTTTAGTGGTACAGTGAAGCTTTAGATGTAGATAGGCTGTGTTTCTCCCTTCTGACAGACCTGTTCTGTCTGCCCACTGAGAAAAACAAGGTAAAATAAAAAAGGAGAAAGTGCTATACTGAAGTACTGAAAATACGGTAACACTTTATAATAACTTTCATTAATAAGTCATTAACAAACATTATGTAATGCTTAACGGATCATTAGTTCATATATATTCACATATCTAGAAATGTGAAATAATGTGCAATATGTGCAAATAGTAGAAGTCAACAGAATAAACAAAGACCAAATATATGACCTTTACAGTGATTATGAGCTAATAAATATATTAACATGAATAGTTTGTGAAGTGCCTATAAGCTATATTTTCACAATATTTGTAAATGTAAAAATGAGCATTAGCTATTATGTGAACTGAAGTGACATTTGTAAGCATTCAAAAGTACATTAACAAATAAGCTTGTAAATATTGTATAATTTCTGTAAAAATCATTTGTAGATTTTTTAAAACGCATTGAAAGTTTAATAACATTTGTAAACATTAACTAATGATCCGGTAAGCATTATATAATGTTTGTTAACAATTTTTTCATGAAGCTTTAAATAATTGTAAACCATCTGTCAAAATCATTTGAAGATTAAAAAAAAAAAATCCATGATCATATGAATTGAAAGTTTAATGACATTTGTAAGCATTTAAATTTACATTAAATAATAATTTTTTTTTAATCATTTGGTAATGTTTAATAAGTTCATTAGTTAACATTAACAAGCACATTATCTCATATTTCTAGATATGCGAATATATATTAAGTAATGATTAGTTAAACATTATATGTTTAATATGTTTGTTAATGATTTATTAATGAAAGTTATTATAAAGTGTTATCGATCATTCTGACTCCATACAAAGTGGCATAAAATTGTCTGGCTGCTTATTTCTGCTTGATCACCAGTCCACCAAGGGTTTCAGGGGATGAAAGGGCGTCAGTAAATCACTCTAATTAAATCTTGTCCTTTAATTACCCAACAATTAATTCCATTTAATTCTCAGAATTAACGCTGAGCGGTGGTGTGACAGAACCTTAAATAGAGACAACGTTCCTATGAACAACAGATCACAATAACTCAATAAGACAATAATCTGACTCTGCCATTCAACACTCAATATCATCCTCACATTATTATTATAAATAATCAATATACATATATATATATATAAGAAGAAGAAGCTGTTCCTGTGCCTAGATATTCTTGTGCATAGTTATAAGGCGGCCTAGTGTGACTCAAATGGGGAAGAGAGTTTGAGAGTAAAGACAGCATGATTATTGGGATGAACGCATCTGGCATCATGCTATTTCTGTGCTTAAATTACCATTTAGCAGACAGCAGTCTCTTCTATAAGCCTACAACATAATTTTTTTTTAACAGGCCAATAGATTTGAATAAATATAACATTTTGATTTCACACATGCTTAATTAACAGACTGACACATTTGCAACAAGTTAATGGCTGAACATTACTGGATGTCTAAAAAATATCTAATGATGTCATAATAATAATGTAAGTTCTGGAGATAAGAAAGACATATATTTATTTATCAACAAGGAAACCCCCCAAAAAGCTAACTGTTTTATTATTATTATTATTATTATTATTATTATTATTATTATTATTATTATTATTATTATTATTATTATGGTCATTCCGTGTCAACTCAACCAGAGGTCCCCGGCTCAAATTTTTGATTTTGCTAATATTTATTCTGAAGAAAGATAAACATGTATAGTCATGAAAGCCAAAATATTAAATTTCATGGATGAATATTTACTGAGTAATCCACTATTTTATAGAGGGGGGTCAAAATGGCAATTTTCACCTGAGATTCAGAGCCAAATTACAGGGGGTTAAAAATTACTTCAGAAAGACGGCAGTATCATAATGTTACTTTTACACAGAGATTGGTAGGTCTATTAGTCAAATCTGTTGAATTTAGGAATCTTTGTTGCATTATGTGCCAAAGGTGACCATTCAAAAATAGGGAAAGAGCACTTTTTAAGTTTTTCTCCAAAGTTTGCAGGCCTGTAACCAAAAAGTATTAAAGATATCTTAATGACCATTTAGATATTGTGTCTTAACAAACTTCTCTTTTGGCATCTTCATTTTTAAAGCCCTATGGTTCAGTTCCATACTGAACGTTCTAGTGACCAACATTTGGTTTTCAACCACTGAAAATGGTTATTATACAACAGTCTGTATATGGGGCCTCATTGAGGTCCCCTTATCTCTGGGACTGAATGATACAGGGCCTTGAAAATAATGATTCCAAAATAAAAGTTTATTAAGAACTAGAATCTAAAATTATATTGCGAT